TTCGTGATGCATATCCAATTCCAAGAATAGATGATACACTAGATTCATTACAAGAAGCGAAATTTGTATCAACACTTGATTTACGATCCGGATACTGGCAAGTAGAAATGGACAAAAATTCAAGAGAAAAAACTGCATTTGTAACACATAAAGGTCTTTTCGAATTCAATGTTATGCCATTCGGCTTAACGAACGCCCCAGCAACTTTTCAACGACTAATGGATATAGTATTAGCGGGTCTCAAATGGCAGTGCTGCCTAGTATACATCGATGATGTGGTAATATTTTCACCAACATTTGAACAACATATTATAGATTTAGAAAAAGTTTTTCAAGCTCTTCGATCGGCAAATCTCACTTTGAAAGCATCAAAATGTCAATTTTGTCGTCGAGAAATGCGATATTTGGGACATATTATTACACAAAATGGCATTAAACCGGATCCAGATCTAATTAAATCAGTAACAAATTTCCCGCAACCAAAAAAGATCAAAGACGTGCAATCATTCCTTGGATTAACTGGTTACTATCGTCGATTCATCAAAGATTATTCCAAAATTGCTGAACCACTGCAACAACAACTACGAAATTCTCAAAAAGGCAATCATCATTTAAATTGGTCGAGAGAATGTACTGACGCATTTGAAACATTAAAAGAACGATTAACAAACGCTCCAATAATGAACACACCAAACTTTGAACAACCATTTATACTGGAACTCGATGCATGTGAATATGGCGTGGGAGCAGTATTAACACAAGAATACGAAGAAAAAAAATATGTGATAGCATATGCCAGCCGAACTTTATCAACAGCTGAAAGAAAATATGGAGCAACAGAACGTGAAGCGTTAGCTATTGTATGGGCGACAAAACATTTTCGTCCATATCTGGAAGGAAACAAAATTTATGTTCGATCAGATTGTAAAGCATTAGAATGGATGCGAACGGCAAAAGATGTAACAGGTCGAATAGCCCGATGGGCGATGAAATTATCAGCTTATCAAATCGAAGAAATCAGATATCGACCAGGAAAATTAAATGCGAATGCCGATTCACTATCACGTAATCCATTACCGGACGATATCATCAATCGACACGAAGTGTCAACAATAGAAACAGCTGTCAACCTGTGGCAGAATACAAACATTTTGAAGGACATAAAAGAAGAACAACAAGCCGATCCAAAATTAAAACAAATTATCAATTTTTTAGAAACAAAATCAGCAACATATTATAATGATAAACGCAATCCGCATATTCTTGTGAATGGATTATTATATAAGATTAAAAATTCAAAGAAACATTACAATCAACGAATCATTGGTGAGAAGCATTTACTGGTCATTCCAAAAACAATGCAAAACAGATTGTTAGAATGGGCTCATGATCATCCAACAGCTGGACATGGTGGTCAACAAAAGACGTTATTTAGATTAACAACAAGAGTATATTGGGAATCAATGAGAAAAGACATATTTAATTATATTTCTGCATGTCAAGCATGTCAACAATTTAAATACAATAATGCTCCAACAGCGAGTCCTATGCAATTACACTCAGTGAATGAACCATGGCACACAATCGGGATGGACATTATGGGTCCACTACCGACCACTGCAAGGCAGAAACGATTTCTTCTCGTTATTGTGGACTATTTTACTCGATGGATCGAATTATTCCCATTGAATTCGATTACATCAATTGACATAACGAATATTCTCACGAATGAAATATTTTCAAGGTATGGACTACCAAAACACATTGTATCGGATAATGGCCCACAATTTATCTCAAATTTATTTAAAAATTTCTGTGATGCATTAGGAATAAAACAAAATTTAACAGCAAATTACCACCCTCAAAGCAACATGACGGAACGCGTGAACAGAACATTAAAACCATTAATTGCCATCTATGCTCAACAACAGCCCAACTCATGGGATAAAGAAATTCAAAAATTAGCATATGCAATACGAACAGCCGTCAACGAAACAACAGGTGAAACTCCAGCTTTCATGATGTTCGGGCGAGATCTGAGAGGCCCACTTGATTTACTGGTCGGTGAAAGAACAGAAGAAGCACGAGTAACCACAAATGAGCATGTACAAATTCAAGAATACAAAAGAAATTTAATTAATAATTTACGATATGCATACAACATCGTCAAAGAACATGCCGAAATAGAAAAATTAAAACAAAAAGCCAAATACGATCGACATACTACCGACAGACGATACACCGAAGGTGATTTGGTATGGGTAGCTATCCCAACAGGACAAATTGGTGAAAATTCAATAGGAGGAAAATTACAACCTCATTATCAAGGTCCATGCCGCCTCATCAAGCAATTAACACCGAATACGTTCACAGTTCTTCGAATCAATGATAACGTACAACTGGGTGCAACAAACACAGATCGTCTCAAACCGTATTTCGAACGAAATACGACAGCAACCGTGAACGATAAAACAATCAATGAAAGACAAAGAACAACAAAAAACAAGAATGAGGGATTGATGGACGATGATTTAAATATACAAAACGGAAAAGAAAACAATCCATCATCGAGTTATGCACTCCCACAACGCCGAATGTCAAATCGTCACCACAGGGTGCCGATAAGATACATTGAAAATTAAACAGTCAACAGATAGCATCGATGACAATCAGACTTAGGTGAAAAAAAAAAAAAAAAGTTTTTCTAACGGCGAAATACATATTGGAACATACACGCCATCAATCATGAAAAAAAAAAAAAGAAAAAAAAAAAATCACCAACGGCGGAGAAGAATGAATAACCATTATAATGTCAACTGATCTAATCGATGCACTTAGACAAATAACGAAAAAAAAAAAAAAAAGAACGTTTGTTTTACATTGTTTTCCATTTTCTCAGTGCGTGAATACTAATCAACTAATTACTGTCGCGCTCTAATTTTTCACTCTCTGTTCGTCACTTGTACGTTGTTCTTCTTGGATGTGTTCTTTTTCTCCCTCTCTAAAAAGTGCTCCCATAGAAAAAACAGACGCTCAGGAGTGCGTCTCGTCTGAATGGGGGGGTGTGCCGATATAAGCACTCGCTCTATCTTAATTAATGTACATAACGACTCTTTTCTCTATACACACTGATAATATCTATTATGTGTTCAAATTCATCTATCCTGTTTGACATGTGTCTCTCNCCATCGGCAAGTCCATGGGCATCACCTGTTATATTAGCACCGAAAAAAGACGGTAGTCTACGTTTTTGTGTCGACTACCGTAAATTAAATGGAGTAACAATTCGTGATGCATATCCAATTCCAAGAATAGATGATACACTAGATTCATTACAAGAAGCGAAATTTGTATCAACACTTGATTTACGATCCGGATACTGGCAAGTAGAAATGGACAAAAATTCCAGAGAAAAAACTGCATTTGTAACACATAAAGGTCTCTTTGAATTCAATGTTATGCCATTCGGTTTAACGAACGCCCCAGCAACTTTTCAGCGACTAATGGATATAGTATTAGCTGGTCTTAAATGGCAGTGCTGCCTCGTATACATCGATGATGTGGTAATATTTTCACCAACATTTGAACAACATATTTTAGATTTAGAAAAAGTTTTTCAAGCTCTTCGATCGGCAAATCTCACTTTGAAAGCATCAAAATGTCAATTTTGCCGTCGAGAAATGCGTTACTTGGGACATATTATTACACAAAATGGCATTAAACCGGACCCAGATCTAATAAAATCGGTAACAAATTTTCCACAACCGAAAAAGATCAAAGATGTGCAATCATTCCTTGGATTAACCGGTTACTATCGTCGATTCATCAAAGATTATTCAAAAATTGCTGAACCACTGCAACAGCAACTACGAAATTCTCAAAAAGGCAATCATCATTTAAATTGGTCGAGAGGATGTACTGACGCATTTGAAACATTAAAAACACGATTAACAAACGCTCCAATAATGAACACACCAAATTTTGAACAACCATTTATACTGGAACTCGACGCGTGTGAATATGGCGTGGGAGCAGTATTAACACAAGAATACGACGAAAACAAATATGTGATAGCGTATGCCAGTCGAACTTTATCAACAGCTGAAAGAAAATATGGAGCAACAGAACGTGAAGCATTAGCTATTGTATGGGCGACAAAACATTTCCGTCCATATCTGGAAGGAAACAAAATTTATGTTCGATCAGATTGTAAAGCATTAGAATGGATGCGAACGGCAAAAGATGTAACAGGTCGAATAGCCCGATGGGCGATGAAATTATCAGCTTATCAAATCGAAGAAATCAGATATCGACCAGGAAAATTAAATGCGAATGCCGATTCATTATCACGTAATCCATTACCTGATGATATTATCAATCAACACGAAGTGTCAACAATAGAAACAGCTGTCAATCTGTGGCAGAATACAAACATTTTGAATGACATAAAAGAAGAACAACAAGCCGATCCAAAATTAAAACAAATTATCAATTTTTTAGAAATAAAGCCAACAACAGATTCTAGTGATAAACGCAATCCACATATTCTTGTGAATGGATTATTATACAAGGTAAAAAATTCAAACAAACATTACAATCAACGAATCATTGGTGAGAAGCATTTACTGGTCATTCCAAAAACAATGCAAAACAAATTATTAGAATGGGCCCATGATCATCCAACAGCTGGACATGGTGGTCAACAAAAGACGTTATTTAGATTAACAACAAAAGTATATTGGGAATCAATGAAAAAAGACATATTTAATTATATTTCTGCATGTCAATCATGTCAACAATTTAAATACAATAATGCTCCAACAGCAAGTCCGATGCAATTACACTCAGTGAATGAACCATGGCATACAATCGGGATGGACATTATGGGTCCACTACCGACCACTGCAAGGCAGAAACGATTTCTTCTCGTTATTGTCGACTATTTTACTCGATGGATCGAATTATTTCCATTGAAATCGATTACATCAATTGACATAACGAACATTCTCACGAATGAAATATTTTCAAGATATGGATTGCCAAAACACATTGTATCGGACAATGGTCCACAATTTATCTCAAATTTATTTAAAAATTTCTGTGATGCATTAGGAATAAAACAAAATTTAACAGCAAATTATCACCCTCAAAGCAACATGACGGAACGTGTGAACAGAACATTAAAACCATTAATTGCGATATACGCTCAACAACAGCCCAACTCATGGGATAGAGAAATTCAAAAATTAGCGTATGCAATACGAACAGCCGTCAACGAAACAACAGGTGAAACCCCAGCTTTCATGATGTTCGGGCGAGACCCGAGAGGTCCACTTGATTTACTGGTCGGTGAAAGAACAGAAGAAGCACGAATAACCACAAATGAGCATGTACAAATTCAAGAATACAAAAAAAATTTAATTAATAATTTACGATATACATACAACATCGTCAAAGAACATGCAGAAATAGAGAAATTAAAACAAAAAGCTAAATACGATCGACATACTACCGACAGACGATATACCGAAGGTGATCTGGTATGGGTAGCTATTCCAACAGGACAAATTGGTGAAAATTCAATAGCAGGAAAATTACAACCTCATTATCAAGGTCCGTGCCGTCTGATCAAACAATTAACACCGAGCACGTTCACAGTTCTTCGAATCAATGATAACGTACAACTTGGTGCAACAAACACGGATCGTCTCAAACCGTACTTCGAACCAAATACAAACAATCGAAATACGACGGCTACCGAGAACGATCAAACAATCAACGAAAGACAAAGAACAACAACAAACAACGATGATGGCTCGATGGATGATGATTTAAATTTACAAAAGGTAAAAGAAAACAATCCATCAACGTGTTATGCACCGCCACAACGTCGAGTGTCAAATCGTCACCACAGGGTGCCGATAAGATACATTGAAAATTAAACCATCAACAGATAGCTTCGATTAGAATCAAACTTAGGGGACAAGATGGAAAGAAAAAAGAAAAACATTAATGACGAAATACATATCGGAAGATACACGCCATCAATCATGAACAAAAAAATCGCCGATGGCAGAGAAGAACGAAGAACTATTATAATTTCAACTTAGCTAATCGATGCACATAGACAATTATCAAGAAGAGAGAACAAAGACCGGGAAAACCTGTAAATATATGTTCGAACGTCACTCGAACAAAATCATGTACATAATTTATTATCTAATCACAAAAAAAAAAAAAACAAGACAGAACGAACGTTTGTTTTATATTATGTCTTTTTTCAAACTGCGTGAATGCTCCTCAACCAACTGTTGTCGCTCTCTAATTTTCTATCTGTTCGTCACGTGTACGTGTTCCTCTTTGATGTTCTTTTTTGTTATTTTCTCTCTCTCTCTAACAAATACTCCTATGGAAAAAACAGACGTTCGGGAGTGCGTCTCGTCTGAATGGGGGGGTGTGCCGATATAGGCACTCGCTCTACCTTAATCAATGTACATAACGACTTTCTTCTCTATACACACTGATAATATCTATTATGTGTTCAAATTCATCTATCCTATTCGAAGTGTGTTTCTCTTCCTCTTGGTCGTGTTCTCTCTCATTCTCTCCGGTTGATTGACGCGCCCCGGAGGAGTGGAATGTAACTATAAAAGGAGAAGGATGATGGAAATAAAACAGTTGGATATCACGATAAAATCATCGTATCGTTACATGGCGACCCTGACAAACTAAACCTCAATCTTCTGACCGAAAAATAAATAAATAAATAAGCTAAGCGCAATTATGACATCCGAAAAAGTAACAATTGAACAAGCGGTTCAAAAATTATCTGAAGCAAATAACAACAGCAACGCACGTCTGAAGGCGCCCGAAACAAAACTAGATGAAATTCACCTCAATTTAATAGAACAAAATAAAAATATGAATATGAACGTACCAAATGAAATAATGAATGTACAAGAAAAAATGATAAANCTTATTAGCAACAGAATACTTGGCATTATTCAAAAAACGACAATGGAGCACCAGATGGACGGGTCCATGGCGCTCGTATGTAAAGTATCCCGTCCAACTATCCGCCGAAATTCACACGATGAACATTCACAACAATACTCCACTAATTTTACCGGGCATGGTAGCAGGAAGACGTACAAAATTACTCATCAACTCAGGAGCATCGCTCACGCTAATTAATCTTCAATTTTTTCTCCAGCTTCCACAACATTATCGTCAGCGAGCACAACCTCCCCCTCCAAATTTATGTCTCCAATTGGCGGATAGATCACAACTGTATGTCAAATATACCCTGCCACTTCCAATTACCATCTCAAACTCAACACGTGTACATAGAATCTACGTGGTTCCAAAATTATGGCGCTCATGTATTATTGGAAATGATCTCATTCGTAAACATAACCTTCAAATAGACGGCGGATGTCAATATGCGTATTTCAAATCAAAGAAGAGAAACGAACAGCTGGAACAGAAAAGAAAAGAAACAGTCAACAATGACGATAATTATGTGCTGATTGCCAATGAACGCATTAAAATTCCATCTTGTCATGCATTTAACATTGAAGTTAAATCAAACAAGCCATTCTTAATTACAGAAGATGATGAAGAAAATGAATACGAAGTAACATCAATAAAAGAAACACCATGTGTAGCTAATGGCATTATAACACCACGGGAATACATGACACTACAGGTGGCCAACTTATCAGAAGGAACGATTATAATCTATAAAAATCAGCCACTTGCGACAATGACACGTCTTAATCAGACACAAATAAATATGATGCAACATGGAACGATATCATCAGCAATAAAACAGACGACATCAAGAGCAGATAATGAATTAACTTTAATCAACACCGATTTAGATGAGCATCAAAAAGAAAAAATAAATCAACTCATTCACAAGTTTCCTGATGTGTTTAATGAACAACCAGGAAGAACGAAAAAATTACAACATCAAATTAATTTAGTTCCCAATGCACAACCATTTAATTCACCACCATTTAGATATGCACCAACGAGAAAACAAGTTATCGAACAAAACTTAAACGAAATGTTAGATCAAGAAATTATCTCACCATCAACAAGTCCATGGGCATCACCAGTTATATTGGTACCAAAAAAAGACGGAAATTTACGTTTTTGTATAGACTATCGAAAATTAAACGCAGGAACAATTCGTGATGCATATCCACTGCCAAGAATAGATGATACATTAGATTCACTACAACAAGCAAAATTTGTATCCACACTTGATTTACGCTCCGGATATTGGCAGGTGGAAATGAATAAAGATTCAAGACAAAAAACTGCCTTTGTAACACATAAAGGTCTATTTGAATTTAACGTTATGCCATTCGGATTAACAAATGCACCAGCAACATTCCAACGATTAATGGACATAGTATTAGCCGGTCTCAAGTGGCAATGCTGCCTCGTTTACATTGATGATGTGGTCATTTTCTCTCCAACATTTGAACAACATGTGACGGATTTAGAAAAAGTCTTTCAAGCTCTTCGATCCGCCAATCTGACATTGAAAGCATCAAAATGCCAATTCTGTCGTCGAGAAATGCGTTATTTGGGACACATTATCACGCAAAATGGCATTAAACCAGATCCAGATTTAATCAAATCGGTAACAAATTTTCCTCAGCCGAAGAAGATCAAAGATGTTCAATCATTCTTAGGTTTAACTGGTTATTATCGTCGATTCATCAAGGAGTACTCAAAAATAGCGGAACCACTATTACAACAGCTGCGAAACTCTCAAAAAGGCAACCATCAATTGAGATGGTCAAAAGAATGCACCAACGCCTTTGAAACATTAAAAAGAAGATTAACAAACGCGCCAATTATGAATACGCCAAATTTCGAACAACCGTTCATATTGGAACTCGACGCATGTGAATATGGCTTGGGGGCAATATTAACACAAGAATACGATGAAAAGAAATATGTAATAGCTTATGCAAGCCGAACATTATCAACAGCCGAACGAAAATATGGAGCAACAGAACGAGAAGCATTAGCCATTGTGTGGGCAACAAAATATTTTCGTCCATACCTCGAAGGAAATAAAATTTATGTTAGATCAGATTGTAAAGCATTAGAATGGATGCGAACGGCGAAAGATGTAACAGGTCGATTAGCCCACTGGGCGATGCAATTATCCGCGTATCAAATCGAAGAAATCAAATATCGTCCTGGGAAACTAAACGCTAACGCCGACTCGTTATCACGCAATCCACTACCAGCTGATGATATTAATCAACACGAAGTGTCAACAATAGAAACAGCTGTTAACCTATGGCAAAATACAAATATTCTTAATGATATAAAAAAAGAACAAGAAGCCGACCCGAAAGTAAAACCAATTATTGAACTCTTAAAAAAAAAGTCAACGTTAGAATTTAATGACAGACGTAATCCACATGTTCTCGTAAATGGATTACTGTACAAAATTAAAAACTCAAAGAAACATTATAATCAACGTGTTGTGGGGGAAAAACATTTACTGATCATTCCGAAAACAATGCAAAATGAACTACTAAGATGGGCTCATGATCATCCAACAGCTGGACACGGTGGTCAGCAAAAAACATTATTTAGATTGTCGACAAAAGTATACTGGAAATCAATGAGAAAATACATATTTAATTATATAGCCGCATGTCAAGCATGTCAACAATTCAAATACAATAACGCTCCAACATCAAACCCAATGCAAATGCATTTAGTGAATGAACCGTGGCACACAATTGGTATGGATATTATGGGAACCTTACCGACCACGACAAGACAAAAACGATTTCTTCTCGTTGTGGTAGACTATTTTACTCGTTGGATCGAACTATTCCCAATGAAATCAACTACATCTAATGATATAGCGAATATCCTCACGAACGAAATATTCTCAAGATATGGGTTACCAAAACACATCGTATCGGATAATGGTCCTCAATTCGTCTCGAACTTATTCAAAAATTTCTGTAATATATTGGGAATCAAACAAAATTTAACTGCAAATTACCACCCGCAGAGCAATATGACGGAACGTGTGAATAGAACATTAAAACCGTTAATTGCCATATATGCTCAACAACGACCCAACTCATGGGACAGCGAAATTCAAAAATTAGCCTTCGCAATCAGAACAGCAGTTAACGATACAACAGGTGAAACTCCAGCGTTTATGATGTTCGGTCGAGACCCCAGAGGTCCGCTTGATTTACTAGTTGGTGAAACAACAGAAGAACCACAACCAGCAACTATTGAACAGGGACAAATTCAAGAATACAAAAAGAATTTAATCAATAATCTACGATGGGCCTTTAAGATGGTTAAGGAACATTCAGAAATAGAAAAATTGAAACAAAAAGAAAAATACGACCGACATACAACTCAAAGACAATACAACGAAGGCGATCTTGTATGGGTGGCGAATCCGACAGCTCATATCGGAGAAAATTCAATGGGTGGAAAATTACAACCACATTATCATGGTCCATGCCGCTTGATCAAACAACTATCACCAAACACTTTCACAATACATCGCTTGAGTGATAATGTGAATTTGGGTGCAACGAATATAGATCGTCTCAAACCATATATCGTATTAAACAGAAACAGCCGAAGTACTATTAAAACGACAAATGATCAATTAGCCCGCGAAGGACAGACAGAAACGTCAATCAACAATGATGAATCACGGCTCGCCAATTTATATCTACAAAAGATGAAAAAGAATGAACAGCCAACGAGCATTAATTCATCACAGCGTCGAGTGTCAAATCGTCACCGCAGGGTGCCGATACGCTACACTGAAAATTAAACAATCAACCGATAGCATCGATTAGATAACAAAATTAGATGACACAAAAAGCGAAAGGAAAGAAAAAGAAGCATATATATTATGAAGGTAGAACATCATTCACCCATGACGAAAGAGAAGAAATAGTCATTGGACAATGAACTCAGCTAATCGATGCCAAAAAGAAGGAAGAAAACAAAAGGTAAAGAAAAAAGAAAGAGAAACGACGGAATGATCTATCAGCAAACAAATTCGAAATTCACTTCATAAAACTACAGAAATAAGACGAAACATTACGTAAACATGTGGATTCTAACAACAGCATGCATTTTACCATTAGCCACCGCAATAACAATACTTTTACCTCAGCGTGATGTTTTACACAAATCGTCTGGCCTTATAATGAAGTACCTGTCGGAGTATAAACCAGCAAATGACGTAATATCCATCACAATATCTATACCGGTGGTGAGTGATATGTGTTACATCATACCGGTGAAAGCTATGAAAAAAATTCCACAATGCCACACAATCATAAGACAAGACGAGAATAAGAATGGACGAAATACAATCGATATACAAAAGTAGAAAGGAAAAAATGATGCAACGTACAAAAGAAACAAACGATTCATACTGGATATTATTTCCATTGCCATCGGAACAGCCGCAACAGCATTATCAACCAGCAATACGATACAAATGAATAACTTGCAGAAAGAAATAAAATCGACAAAATCTTCGATCCAGTCATTAAAAAACTCAATGAAAGAACACAATAGTCAATTATTCCAACTAACCAAAGGGCAAATCAAAATTATAGAGGAACTCCATCACACCCAGACCGCCCTGAACAATACAATTGCCATGGTGAATGAACATTCGAATGTGCTCAAACAACAGCAAAGAGCCATCACAACTATGTCGGCGATGTTAATGTCCTTTACAAAAGAATTAGCATCAATCAATCAAGCAATGACAATGCATTTCATTCACGAGTCCATGGAAGACATCTTCGCCAACAAACTCAACTTACGATTCATACATCCTCATGATCTACCACAAGTGCTACAAATCATCACAAAACAGACTAACATAAATATAGAAGAAATAGATGATGCATTCCCAATAATTGAACTTATCAATCAACTACTAATACAACAGCGAATTGAATTCATTCAAATAAAAAAAAATGATGAACAAATAGACGGAGGTGTGATTGGTAATCTATTATTTACATCATTCTTTGCAGCATCAAACAAAAATCAACAGCCATTCTCAACATATAAGCTAACTTCAATACCATTCAATCAAGCAAATCAAAGATGGAAATTAGCACAAATACCCCACATCATTAGTATCTCTAGCAAAACACTTGAACTAATCCAATGGACGAAAAAAGAAAGCATAACATGTAAATTCAAATCATTATCATCGTGTCGGGAAACACCACCAATTCAAAAGAACTGGCAACAAACGTGCTTATTTGAAATATTAACAGACTCAAATCTAACATTCTGCCGTATTGAATTAGAATTAGAACCCATCTTTATACAAAGAATCGGTCAACAATGGGCGATATCGACAAGAAACGAAACCAAGTGTCATCGTGTGGCGCAGCTGGAAGAAGAACAGCATGCAATAACAACAAACAACGAAATAACCATTCCACCGATTGCACTATTAACTATAGATAGATCAACAACATGGAGTTGTGATCATTTCTTACTACCTGGTATATCAAACGACACGAATGAACTTATTCATATTATTGACAACAAAAAATTGAATTATGATGATTCAAAATTGATTAATTTATATCAAACGATGAATAACAATACTCAATGGAAGAAAATACCATACATTCCAGAAAATATAAAAAACATGATCGAATATGTAATAGCGACAACACCAATACCCACACCAACAGCAACTGCATGGTATCAACATGGATTAGCAGTAACAGTGGGATTACTTGGGATAATCGCAACTACTTCAATCACCCTGTACTTCAAATTAATAGGTAAAGTGAAAAAAACATCAACAGCTGATATAATTACGATGCCATCAATGTGAAGAAATCCGACAATAATCGGAACATCTCAAACAGATACTTGCGCCAAACTTGAAGACAATCATGTACATAAAGGCACAAGGAATCACGTAAAAAAAAAAAAGAAAAAAAAAGGATTTTGTATATCAATGTATTTTTCTCCTTTCCTCGTTTATTCTCCTCCTCTTTTCTTTTTGTTCGTTTTTTTTTTGGTTGTTTGTTTCGTTTTATTGCTCCTCTGGGGCAGTCTATCTTGATGTATTCTATCCTGATTATTGCGTGACCAACGGTCGTTGCATTTTTTTTTCTCAACCAGACGCCCAGGAGTGCGTCTCGTCTAGATGGGGGGGGGGGGTGCCGATTTAGATACGTGCTCTAATGTATTTGGTAATTGTGTACATAATAACGTGTTACGCCCTTATGCTTTAATGTTTATCTGTGTTCACTTCTGTTCCTCTCTCATGTTCTCTCCCTACTTATGTATTTATATATATCTCTCTCTCTTCTCTCCCTCTCCGCTTGAATAGCGCGCNCACACCCACACCCACACCCACACCCACCCCCACGCCCGCACCCACACCCACCCCCACACCCACACCCACACCCACACCCACACCCACACACCCACACCCACACCCACACCCACACCCACACACCCACACCCACACCCACACCCACACACCCACACCCACACCCACACCCTTATTAATTCTTAGCTGTGTACACATGCAACATCGCGATGAAATTTTATCGACATTAAATCAGCATAAATTTCAATTTGAATTTAAAAAAATGTCTCATAACCGTGCAACAAGTGGAATTCCTGAGTCATGTCATCACATGCGATTCGACTAAACCATCGAAGGATCGTGTTCAAGGCATTTTGGATATGCCTGAACCACGAACATTGGCCCAAGCAAATTGATTTATCAGTAAGATTGGATGGTATAAAAAATACATTCGACATTTTACAGAATTGGCAGCACAGATTCACAAATTAACAAAATGAAGAAGACAAAACATGAATTCTACTGGCATCAAGAACAAAATCAATCATTCCATAATTTGACAAATGTTCTTACAACACCGACGTTGATGTTGAATTATCCACATGTAACAGCAAACTTCATCTCAGCTACGGATGCATCAGAATATGCTATAGGTGGTGCATTGAAGCAAGTAATCGATGGAAAAATTCATTATAATTACTACTTAAGTCATTTATTATCACCAATTGAAAAGAAATATAAAACAATTGAACGTGAACCATTAGCAATATTCTGGTGCATGAACAAATTGCAGCAATATTTGGGTGGTCGTGATGTTACGATTCTCTCTGATCACAAGCCACTCGAACGATTCTACAAAAAGACTCATTTCAGCTGTAAACGAATAGAAGAATGCCTTTAAAAAAATCAAGACATTATCCCTCAAATGACTGACATAAAATATAAGAAAGGACGCTTACATGGTGATGCCGATGGCTAATTACGACCTAAATCTATTAGACACATCGATGAATCATCATGTAACAACGACGAGTATCGCGCTTGCAAGATCATTACTCGATCAATGGCCCGAAAAATGGCGGATCCTACGCATCATAATACAGCTTCTGCATCTCCTATACTGCAATCACCACCGAACTCACAACTACCTATGCCACTCGATTTTGGAATTGAACAACTACGCGAAGAGCAAAAGAAAAATGCTGAGGTACAATTAATTGTGAAGAATATTTGACAACAGCAATCATATGTCATTGAAAATCACGTATTATACAGAATATTCTCTCACCTTAGGTTAGTAACTAGCAGCAAGTTGATTTATATTCCATCTTCGATGAGAAACAAAGTTTTGGCAAATTATCATGATCATTCTACAGCCGCCCATTTTGATTTTAGAGTAGCATGGCAAGAATTGCGACATCGATGCTATTGGCCAAAGATACATGAAGACATTGAAAATTATATTCGAACTTGTGACAAATGTGCCAAGTTTAACATCAGAAGAACAAAATCACCTGGTAAACTAAACCCAATTATACTACCAGAGGAATCAATGGAATTCATTGGAATAGACTTTTGGAGACCAACACGACAAGAATCAGTCAACGGTAACAAATATGTATTGATAATAACTGATTATTTGACAAAATTTATCGTAGCAAAAGCACTACCTAATAATACAGCATAAATAACTGCTCACACATTTGTCAGAGAATTCATTTTCAAATTTGCTGTACCGAATCGTCTCATTACTGATCAACGAGTTCGTTTTAATATTGAATTAATGAAGAACAGAGCAGCATTGATAGGATTCAACCATATCAAATCGACTTCGTATCATCAGCAAACGAATGGACAAGTGGAACCCTGTTAAGTAGTAATAACAACTGTTTTTCTGTTCGTTCTGTTCATCATATATATGTGTCATCTCTTTTGTCATATACATATGTCACTTTCTTCTTTCTGTTCTATAGCTAGGTATTTTCCTATATTCACATTCGTTTGGTATTTTTCTAATGTTAGCGCTCACTAGGATTTCACCTATATCTTATGTGGATATTTTCAACATGTCGTGTTATTCATCATCATATATACTTGTGATTCTCTGATAATAAATAAGAAATATACTGAGTGACAGGGTGGAAATCATCTCCGTCTATTACATATTGAACTCGGAAAATATCAAACTTAACAAACGCTTCAATCCAACATTTCGACTCTAACTGGCAAAATTATTAGACGAGAATTTAGACAACTGGAATGAGTATTTACCAGTAGTGGTCTATACATACAACACCGGGCAGCACGCAACAACTGGATATTCACCGTTTCAACTGATGTTCGGTCGAAATCTAACATTACCATCAGCTGAAAAACATGAGCTGTTCACTCTGACAAAACATAGTGATTATTGACCTCATTTCAGACGTTTATTAACAGCATATCATATCGATTGGCGAGAAACAACATTCAAATTCGATAACGTTTAGCAAAAACAAGATTTGATATGAATCGATCCGATTCAGTCTATAAAACGTTAGATCTAGTATTATGGCGAAAACCTTATCGTCTTTCAAAATTCGAAGAACTTTACTCCGATCCATACATAATCATTCATGCAAGACATCCAAATTACATCTTTCAAGAAAAAGACACATCGATTCAACGAAAGATTCATGTAGCTGATTTACAACCGATATTCGAAAGAAATATCTAATATCGTAACTAGAGTGCAAGTTTTCATCACATTAATCAACATTATTAGGACCATAACAGGCGAAATTGGTGTGTTAATTTATGATGGTGGCAGCCTATAAAAATCACCATTATTAGACAAATTACGGTGGAAACTGTTCCATAGGATATTAGTTCGGTAATGCATAGTTATCATATATCAAGATGGTGGCGGCTCTTGATGCAACACAGGATTCATTCTCAATCTCAAGGTATTATATTTACATATGTCGCCATCACAGAATAACCTATTCTACTTCTGTCCAATACATACTTTTCTTTCTTATACGTTGATGTTGCTAGCTATCGTTTTTTATCTTATTGCATTTTCGTTAACATATCTACATTCACTTAGTCGTTTCTTTCGCTTTTCTCTCTACTATTTGTGACGATGTAGACACATGCTCTATTGTAATTGATATTCGTGTGCATAATAACGTGTTCCGTTCATGCACACTGATGTTATCCTCGTGTGCATCTTTGTTCCTCTCTCATGCTCTCTCCCTGGTTATGTTTCTCTCGCTCTCTGTCTTTTTCTCTCCTCTTGAGTAGCGTGCGCTGAAGTGGAACGGAGTTATAAAAGGAAGTGAGAGATTGAAATAAAGGCAGTCGAAAACAGGACATACCATTTTGATCGTTACATGGCGACCCTGGCAAATTGAACTTCAACCTTCTGATCGAACAAGACAAGAAAAAAATAAATAAAATAAAAAATAATTATTATTATTTTGGCATCCGCAAAAGTCATAGTTGAGCACGCGGTTCAAACGTTAATTGACGCAAATATTAACAACAATGCACGGCTGAGCACCCTGGAGACAAAGCTGGGGTAAATACACGACAATTTACTTGATCAAAGCAATAATATCAATACCAATGTACCACAAGAAATCGTCACGCTGCAGGAAAAAGTGACCAAACAGATCGAAGCTATTCAAGCGCAAACACAAGAATGGCAGAATGTTACCATATCGAAGCTAGAAGAAAAGCGACAAGAGTGGGAGCAACTGACAAGCAACCTTAGAGATATGAAAATGGAAATACAAAATATTTGTGAAGCTCTTAGAATGCAAACATCAGGAAAAAATAACCATAATCAACTAATAGAAGAAAATATCTCTACACCATACACAGAACGAAATTCGTCAACAATAGAAGAATCATTTGATAATGGTCAACTTGATCAACACAATCGAACAGAACAAAGACAACATGCTGAGAATAATGCACGACAAATGTTATCAAATGAACGTACCGTTCAAATAGCACACACCATCATTATCCCACCATCGTCATCGATACCAACATTTAGTGGAAGCATCCTAGAAAGTCCTCGTCAATTCCTTATTCGAGTCAAGGAATACGCAGAAACAATAAACCACTGGAATGACCAATCATTACTTAATGGCATCTCACAATTTCTTCGAGACACCGCTCTGGAGTGGTATTGTCAACTGCGCATCTCGAATCGACGCCCACAAACTTGGATGGAATTCAAGGTAGTTTTTCTAAATCAATTTAACTCACCAATCCGACGCGCACGACAAGAGCAACAATGGAAAGACTGCAAGCAAGAAGAAAATGAAACAATTAATGAATTCATCGTTCGACTTCGTGCCCTCTGGCAAGAACAAAAGCCGAATGAAACAGAAAATTATCTCATCCGACACCTGATGTGTAAGATGAGAAACAATTTATTAACGATGATTGGAATCTCTCGATGTGAATCATTAGATGAAATTATTACAGAAGCGCAAAAAATTGAAGAATTACTCTACCAACGAAACTAACATATATACAAAAACGATAACCGTGACTCATTCCACAATGATACACCAACAACATCAATGTACAACAACGATGATCATCACGAGGTGCAAGCAATGTCAGCACATCAAATGAACCGACAAACAAAATCAAACAACAGAAGAAATTTTACGTCAAATTGGAATGGCAATTATGACATGACACCCCGTCAATCACATTACTCAACACAAGCGTCAAGTAACCAACGCAATATATACCAATCAAATGACACAAAATGTTACATGTGTGGAAGAAGAGGACATTTCCGAAAGAACTGCCCATATCAGTACAACACTTATCAACAATAGAATACTTGGCATCATTCAAAAAACGACAACGGAGCACAGGGTGGACGGGTCCATGGTGCTCGAATGTAAAGTATCCCGTCCAGCTATCCGCCGAAATCCACACTATGAACATTCACAACAATACTCCATTAATATTACCGGGTATGGTAGCAGGAAGACGTACATAATTACTCATCGATTCGGGAGCATCGCTCACTCTAATTAATCTTCAATTCTTTCTACAGCTACCACGATATTATCGTCAAAAAGCTCATCCTCCTTCTTCGAACTTATGTCTCCAATTGGTGGATAGATCACAATTATATGTCAAATATGCCTTATCACTTCCAATTACCATTTCAAATGCAACACGGGTACACAAAATCTACGTGGTTCCAAAATTATGGCGCTCATGTATTATTGGTAATGATCTCATTCGTAAACACAATCTTCAAATAGATGGTGGACGTCAATATGCATATTTCAAATCAAAGAAAAGAAACGCATAGCTGGTACAGAAAAGAAAAGAAACAATCAACAATGACGATAATTATGTGTTGATTGCCAATGAACGCATTAAAATTTCACCTTTTCATGCATTTAACATTGAAGTTAAACCAATCAAGCCATTCTTAATGATAGAAGACAATGAAGAAAATGAATACGAAGTAACATCAATAAAAGAAACTCCATGTGTAGCTAACGGCATTATTACACCACGTCAACACATGACACTGCAGGTGGCCAACTTAACAGAAAGAACGATTATAATCTATAAAAATCAGCCGTTGACGACAATGACTCGTCGTAATCAAACACAAATAAACATGATGCAACATAAAATGATGTCATCAGCTACAAAACAAACGATATCAACAGCAGATAATGAATTAAGCTTGATCAACACTGATTTAGATGAATATCAAAAAGAAAAAAACAAAACAACTCATCCACAAGCTTCCTGACGTGTTTAATGAACAACCAGGAGGAACAAAAAAATTACAACATCAAATTAATTTAGTTCCTGATGCACAATCATTTAATTCACCACCATTTCGATATGCACCAGCAAGAAAACAAATCATCGAACAAACCTTGAACGAAATGTTAGATCAAGGAATTATCTCACCGTCAACAAGTCCATGGGCATCACCAGTTATATTAGTTCCAAAAAAGGACGGAAGCTTACGCTTTTGTGTAGACTACCGGAAATTAAATGCAGTTACAATTCGTGATGCATATCCATTTCCAAGAATAGACGATACATTAGATTCATTGCAACAAGCGAAATTTGTATCAACACTTGACTTACGTTCCGGATACTGACAGGTGGAAATGGATAAAGATGCACGACAAAAAACCGCCTTCGTCACACATAAGGGTTTATTTGAATTTAACGTTATGCCTTTTGGATCAACAAATGCTCCAGCAACGTTCCAACGGTTAATGGACATCGTATTAGCCGGTCTCAAGTGGCAATACTGTCTTGTATATATTGATGATGTGGTAATATTTTCGTCAACATTTGAACAACATATGACAGATTTAGAAAAAGTCTTTCAAGCTCTTCGATCCGCAAATCTGACGTTGAAAACATCAAAATGCCAATTTTTTCGTCGAGAAATGCGTTATCTGGGACACCTTATCACGCAAAATGGCATTAAACCAGACCCAGATTTAATCAAATCAGTAACAAATTTCCCGCAACCAAAGAAGATCAAAGATGTTCAATCATTCTTGGGTTTAACTGGTTATTACCGCCGATTCATCAAGGATTACTCAAAAATAGCGGAACCACTGTTACAACAGCTGCGAAATTCTCAAAAAGGCAATCATCAATTGAAATGGTCGAAACAATGTGCTGCTGCCTTTCAAACATTAAAAAAAAGATTAACAAACGCGCCAATTATGAACACACCAAACTTTGAACAACCGTTCATATTGGAACTCGACGCGTGTGAATATGGCTTGGGAGCAATATTAGCACAAGAATATGATGAAAGGAAATATGTAATAGCTTATGCAAGCCGAACACTATCAACAGCGAAAAGAAGATATGAAGCGACTGAACGAGAAGCATTAGCCATTGTATGGGCAACAAAATATTTTCGCCCATACCTCGAAGGTAACAAAATTTATGTTAGATCAGATTGTAAAGCGTTAGAATGGATGCGCACGGCAAAAGATGTAACAGGTCGATTAGCCCGCTGGGCGATGAAACTATCGGCATATCAAATCGAAGAAATTAAATATCGCCCTGGAAAATCAAATGCTAACGCCGATTCGTTATCACGTAATCCACTACCAAATGATGATATCAATCAACATGAAGCGTCAACAATAAAAACAGCTGTTAACCTATGGCAAAATACAAACATTCTTAATGACATAAAAACGGAACAAGAAGCTGATCCAAAATTAAAATCAATTATCGAACTATTAAAAACAAAATCAACGTTAGAATTTAATGACAAGCGTAACCCACATGTTCTTGTGAATGGATTATTGTATAAAATTAAAAACTCAAAGAAATATTATAATCAACGTGTCGTCGGTGAAAAACATTTACTTGTCATTCCAAAAACAATGCAAAATGAACTACTAAAATGGGCTCATGATCATCCAACAGATGGACACGGTGGTCAACAAAAAACATTATTTCGACTGTCAACGAGAGTATATTGGAAATCAATGAGAAAAGATGTATTTAATTACATAGCTGCATGTCATGCATGTCAACAATTCAAATACAATAATGCTCCTACATCAAGTCCAATGGAAATGCATTTAGTGAATGAACCGTGGCACACAATTGGCATGGATATTCTAGACCCCTTGCCGACCACTACAAAACAAAAGCGATTTCTTCTCGTCATGGTAGATTATTTTACTCGATGGATCGAATTATTACCACTGAAATCAACTACATCTAGCGACATAGCGAATATTCTTACGAACGAAATATTCTCAAGATATGGATTACCAAAACACATTGTATCGGATAATGGTCCTCAATTCGTATCGAATTTATTTAAAAATTTCTGTGATATATTGGGAATCAAACAAAATTTAACAGCAAATTATCACCCGCAAAGCAATATGACGGAACGTGTGAATAGAACATTAAAACCGTTAATTGCCATGTACGCTCAACAACAACCAAACTCATGGGATGTTGAAATTCAAAAATTAGCCTTCGCAATCCGAACGGCAGTCAACGATACCACAGGTGAAACTCCAGCATTTATGATGTTCGGTCGAGACCCCAGAGGTCCACTTGATTTATTAATTGGTGAAACAATAGAAGCACCACAACTGGCAACTATTGAGCATGGACAAATTCAAGAATATAAGAAGAACTTAATCAATCATCTATGATGGGCGTATACGATTGTCAAGGAACATTCAGAAATAGAAAAATTGAAACAAAAAGAAAACTACGACCAACATACAACTCAACGACAATACAATGAAGGTGATCTCGTATGGGTGGCGAGTCCGACAGCACATATTGGAGAAAATTCTATGGGGAGAAAATTACAACCATATTATCATGGTTCATGCCGCCTGATCAAACAACTGTCACCAAACACATTTACAATATGTCGCTTGAGTGATAATGTGAACTTGGGCGCAACGAATACAGATCGGCTCAAGCCATATATCGAATTAAACAGAAACAATCAACGTACGACAACAACCACAAATGATCAATCAGGCAACAAAAGATTAACTGCAACATCAATCAACAGTCATGAATCACTACTACACGATTTAGATCTACAGAATGTGAAAAGAAATGAACCACCAACGCGCAATAACTCATCGCAACGTCGAGTGTCAAATCGTCACCGCAGGGTGCCGATACGGATACATCGAACATTAAACAATCAACAGATAGCATCGATTAGATAACAAGATAAGGTGGCACAACAAGAAAAGAAAAGAAAAACAAGCATATTCATTATGACGCGAGAACATTGTTCATGTGTGACGAAAGAGAAGGAATAACCATTGGATAACGAATTGATCTAATCGATGCGCCAAAAAAAAATATACAAAAAAAAAAAGAAGAGAAACAACGGAATCAGTTATAAACAAGCAATACGAAATTCACTCCATAACATTACACAAATAAGATGACACATTGCACAAACTTGTGGATTTTAACAATTGCATGCTTCTTACCATTAGCCACCACGACGACAATCCTTTTACCTCAACGTGATATACTGCACAAATCATCTGGTCTTATAATGAAGTATCTTTCGGAGTATAAACCAGCAAACGACGTATTATCCATCACAATATCTATACCGGTGGTGAATGATATGTGCTATATCATACTGTGGAAGGCCATGAAAAAAAATTCCACAATGCAACACAATCACAAGACAAGATAAGGATGAAAGTGGGCGAAGCACAAGCAATATACAAAAGCAGAAAGGAAAAAATGATCCCACGCACAAAAGAAACAAACGATTCATATTGGACATTATTTCTATAGCCATTGGAACAGCCGCAACAGCCCTATCAACCAGTAACACCCTTCAAATGAATAACCTGCAGAGAGAGATAAAATCAATCAAATCATCGATTCATTCATTAAAAAATTCAATGAAAGAACACAACAGTCAACTGTTCCAATTAACCAAAGGTCAAATCAAAATTATAGAAGAACTCCATCACACCCAGGTCGCTCTGAATAACACAATTGCCATGGTGAATGAACATTCGAATGTACTCAAACAACATCAAACAGCCATTACAACGATGACGGCAATGCTAATGTTTTTTAAAAAAGAATTAACATCAATCAATCAAGCAATGGAGACTCACTTCATTCATGAGTCCATGGAAGATATCTTTGCCAACAAACTGAACTTACGATTTATACATCCTCATGACTTACCACAAGTGTTACAAATCATCACAAAGCAAACTAACATTAACATAGAAGAAATCGATGATGCATTTCCGATTGTGGAACTCATCAATCAACTATTAATACAACAACGAATTGAATTCGTTCAAATCAATACAAATGAACCAACAGACGGAGGTGTGATTGGTAATCTATTATTCACATCATTCTTCGCGGCATCAAACAAAAATCAACAACCATTCTCAACATACAAACTGACATCAATACCATTCAATCAAGGAACCAACAGATGGAAATTAGCGCAGATACCGTACATCATTAGTATCGCTAGTAAAACACTTGAACTAATCCAATGGTCAAAAGAAGAAAGCAGCACGTGCAAATTCAAATCCTTATCGTCGTGTAGAGAAACACCACCAATCCACAAGAACTGGCATCAAACATGCTTATTCGAGATAATAACAGATTCAAATCTAACATTATGTCGTATTGAACTTGAATTAGAACCCATATTTATATAAAGAATCAGTCAACAATGGACCATCTCAACAAGAAATGAAACCAAGTGTCACCGGGTTACACAACTGGAAGCAGAACAACATGCAATCACCACAAACAATGAAATAACTATTCCGCCAATCGCATTGTTGACCATTGACAGATCAACAACATGGAGCTGTGATCATTTTCTACTATCTGGTATATCAAACGATACGAATGAATTAATTCAAATTATTGACAACAAAAAACTGAATCACGATGATTCAAAATTAATTAATTTACATGAAACGATGAACAATAACACCGGATGGAAAACAATACCATATATACCAGGAAATATACAAAACATGATCGAATATTTAATCACAACAACACCAACACCCACGGCAACAGCAACACCATATTATCAACATGGGTTAGCAGTGGCAGTGGGACTACTTGGCATAACCACAATTACGTCAATTATCTTCTATGGCAAATTAATAGGTAAAGTGAAAAAGACATCAACAGCCGAAATGATTGCGATGCCACCAATTTGAAGAAATCTAACAATAATTCAAACAGCAGACTCGAAGACAATGATGTACATAGCGTCACGAAATCACGTTTAAAAAATAATAATAATAATAATATTCATAATAATAATAATAAAGTTTTTTTGTTTGCTTGTCCTTTCTGTTGTTGCGCTCCGCCACTGATAACTATCGACACTTACGTGTATATCTCTATTCATTTGTTCTCTTTCTCTTTCCTTTTTCGTTTTTTTTCTTATCTTGTTCCTTTTTGTTGGTTTTCTACCTTGGTATGTTCTATTTTCGTGTCATCGATTGTCGTTCCACTCTTTCCTCAACCAGACGCCCAGGAGTGCGTCTCGTCTGAATGAGGGAAGGGGGGGGGTGACGATGTAGGCACATGCTCTATTGTAATTGATATTCATGTACATAATAACGTGCTCCGTTCATGCACATTGATGTTATCCTCGTATGCATCTTTGTTCCTCTCTCATGCTCTCTCCCTGGTTATGTTTCTCTCGCTCTCTGTCTTTTTCTCTCCTCTTGAGTGGCGTGCGCTGAAGTGGAACGGAGTTATAAAAGGAAGTGAGACATTGAAATAAAGGCAGTCGAAAACAGGACATATCATTTTGATCGTTACACTATTATTTATTTATCTGACTTTCTTTTTTTTTCTCTTTTTCATTCTCTTTTTACATTGTCAACCTTAATATAGGGACAATAAAAATGAATGTCAAAAAACAAAAAAAAACAAAAAATCTCAAGGTATTATTGGCAGGTGAACAACAACATTTCTAATTGCTTAAATCAACAACGGCCATGTACATAGTGAATATTAAAATCAATGAACGTGAGCGTTCATACTCTCCAATGGGGAAGATGTTATGACTTGAATCTTCTTCAGATTTAGTCATAAGAGTTTTTCCTCTTTTCTACTAAATGATACATAAATACTTATGATCTTCTTATTAGTTATGTTGGATTATTCACATTGCCTATATTCTTCTTTCTTTCATGTTCTTCTCTGAATTTTCTCTTCTATGTTCATCATGGAATTGCCTATCATTGAGTTTTTCTAACCTTGTTATTATTCCATATATATAGCGCTACGTTGTTGTGAAAAGAGAGTTAAAAAAAATAAAAATAAAAAGTTGGGATAGTGATCTCACAAAAACCAATTCAGATGTATTGTGCATTCAGCAGGGTATTTTGTACCCTGTTCTATTGTCTATTAACATAGGACAGAATACGAATTTTTTTCTCGCTATTTTTTCCTGACAGAACAGAGTAACATAAACCAGGGTGCAGGATAGAACAGGATGAAAAAAAATCACCCTGTGAACACCTCAGGTATGAATAATCTCTATAAAATAACATCCTCCATTTCGAAAAAATTGAGACCTTTTATCTATGAAAAGTTAATGAATCTAGTCGATTGTATAATGTCTATAAATACATATTCTATCACTGTAAAAAATAGCCGTAGAATAATAAACCCTTGAAAAGGGTTTATTAACTTCATAAGCACTTTTGTAAATACTTTTATGGGTTTATTAGTATTATAAACCCTTTCATATACCCTTAAAAGGTTTATTAACTTCATAACCCCTTCGAAACAGCGTTTATTAATATACCCTTTAGAAGAAATCGTAGAATAAAAATGCTTTTTCGAAGAGTTTATGAAAGTGCAACGTATAAAATACCCTTCTTAGGATTTATGAACTAGAAGAATATATGAATGGGTTTCTGATACTAATCAGAGCTGCCAACAGGCCACTTTTTTTCAGCCTGGCCTGGCCTGCCTGGTCTGCTTAGCAGGCCAGGCTAAAATTCAAAAGTCAGCCTGCAGCCTGACCTGGCCTGCCTGCAGGCAAAACCAGGCCAAATGGTGTATTTGATTTTTCAGATTGGTAAATTGATACTTTGGCAATAATTTAAGACATCAGTTTCAGTTACGTATTTAATCCTTTATTATCAAAATAATACGATTGCACATCTTTACACAAAACGCATAATGAAAATCAACTCATTTTAATCAGTTTTTTTTCGAACAATAAATGCTAGAATTTAGAAAATCGAGCTCCGTGTGAA